GAGCCATTTGGTCTCTGATCAGTTATTTGATCCCTTATGAACTTGACATCCTTCCCTGAGTTGAGAAAGATTTTAATGGGGGCTGGAGTGATGGCTCTGTGATTAAGAGCACTTGTTGCTCTTGCAGAGGATGGGGGTTCGACTCCCAGCATCCACTTGGTGGCCTACAACCATCCATAACTTCAGATCCAGGGGATCCAGTGCTCTCTTCTGACTTCCTCAGGCACAGGGCACATATATGGTGCACACACACAGGCAAACAGTAATACAAATAAAAAAATGAATTTTTTTTTCCAAGACAGGGTTTCTCTGTGTAGCTTTGGAGCCTATCCTGGCACTCGCTCTAGAGACCAGGCTGGCCTCAAACTCACAGAGATCCGCCTGCCTCCACCTCCCGAGTGCTGGGATTAAAGGTGTGCTCCACCAACACCTAGTGCAACTTGCTTTTTGTTTGTTTGTTTGTTTTTCGACACAGGGTTTCTCTGTATTGTTTGGAACCTGTTCAGGAACTCGCTGTGTAGACCAGGCTGGTGTCGAGCTCACAGAGATCCGACTGCCTCCGCCTCCCAAGTGCTGGGATTAAAGGCGTGGGTCACCAATGCCAGGCGCAATTTGCTTTTAAGTTCCCAGAAAAGATGTCAGTATCAACTGACCATTTTTCCTACTTCTAGCAAGAGAGCTGCTTTAGCACCATCATGTGGACATAAACGGTAGTACCAGTTTTCTATGGTTAAAGTAATGATCCTTTTGAATTGAATACGTTTTTTTTTTTTTTTTTTTTTTTTTTTTTTTTTTTTTTTTTTAAGAGTACACACACGTGCACACTCTTTTACTGGACTTTTGAGATAGGGTCTTCTAGATACACAGACCTGGATGGCACCTGGACCTCGCTCTGTAGATCAAGCAGCTCTTCCATGCAGCAAGAATACTGTTTCTGAGAGAAGGCTCTCATGTCCAAATGTTTGTGCTAAGTGTTGTGTGTGTTGCACGTTGCTTCAGCACCATGACTTCATGACTGCTCTTCCTCTTCCAGGATAAGGGGAGGCCTCCAGAGCTGTTCTGGGAGAACAGTGTTTGCTTTACAGCTCAGAATCCTTACTTATTAAATTATTATTATTAATTATTATTTTGGTTTTACAAGGCAGAGTTTCTTTGTGTAGCCCTGGCTGTCTGGAACTCACACTGTAGACCAGGCAGGCTTAGTGGAACTCAGAGACCTGCCTGCCTGCCTCCCTGCTGGGATCAAAGGGATGCACCACTGTTGTGTAATATTAGTTTAACTATGTAAAATGTGATGCTTTTGTTTATGTTGTGGAATCTTAGCTTAACTGTATAAAGGTGTGTTAGATTTGTTTATGTTAAATTTGTTTAACTAAGTAAACATATGTTACTTTTGTTTATGCTTCGTTTGTTTAACTATGTAAAGATGTGTTGGTGTTTTACCTTGCCTGCCTAAGGCACCTGATTAATCTAATAAAAAGCTGATCGGCCAATACCTAGGAGGAGGGGGAGGTAGGCAGGTTTGGTGGGCAGGGAGAAAAGGGGAACCAGCCAGGTGCCAGCCAGCTAGCCAGCCAGATACACAGGAAAGTAGGATGGACAGTACATAGATGAGGTAAACAAGCCTAGGGGCAGCACATAGATTAATAGAAATGGGTTAATTTAAGTTAAAAAAAAAAGGCTAGCTAGAAACAAGCTGAAGCCAAGGACAAGCATTCATAATTAATAATAAGTCTCTGTCATATTTGGGGGATGGTGGTCCAAGAAAGCTTGCTACACACTACCACAGCCCAGGCCAGTTTATACATCACCTCTAATCTCAGTACTTGGGAGACAGAGGCAGGCAAGTCTATGTAAATTTAAGGTCAGCCTGGACACAGTAGCAAATTCCAGTACAACCATACCATTGCTGTGTAGAAAGATCCTGTCTCAACAAAACAAAATGCTACTTATCTATGTTTTGTATGCCTGCGAGTGACTTTCCTACATATATACCTGTGTACCACATACATACAGTGTCTGTGGAAAACAGAGAGGGTGTCTGATCCCCTGGGACTGGGATTACACATGGTTAAGAGTTGCCAACGTGGGTGCTGGGAACTGAATCCAGGTCCTCTGTAAGAGCAGCCCAAGCTCTTAAGTGGTGAACATCTCTCCAGCTCCAAGTTCTTTCTTTCTTTCTTTCTTTCTTTCTTTCTTTCTTTCTTTCTTTCTTTCTTTCT